CATCATCCATCATCCATCCATCATCCATCCATCCATCATCCATCATCCATCCATCCATCATCCATCAATCATCCATCATCCATCCATCATCCATCAATCATCCATCATCCATCCATCATCCATCCATCATCCATCATCCATCAATCATCCATCATCCATCCATCATCCATCAATCCATCCATCATCCATTCATCATCCATCCATCCTTCCCTCCCTGCCGTGGGTCCAGCTGTCCCCGTGGCCCCGCATGCCCGGTGCCCCTCGCCCCCGAGCCGTGCATGCCGTGTCCTACCAGGGTCCTGTTTGGTGTCTGGGTTTTTTTTAACCGTGGGAGGGGGGTGGGAGGGGGTCGGGCATGGACCCTCACAGTGGGAGCAAAGGGCAGTGCAGACCTGGCACAATTTTCTATGTAACAAGCATGTGAGATGTATTTGTGAGCAAAACAAAAAAGGGGGAAAAAAAACAAAAAAAAAGGGACTTTTGTGGCTCATTTGGGTTTTTCTCTCCCTTTTCTTCTTCATGTGCCTCTATAAGAAAAGGCAAAATCAGTGGGCAAAGCGGGACCTGGAAAGGGCAGGAGCACCGGAATTCACACCCTTGAGCTCTGCAGACCTGCTGCAACCTGGGAAGCCCCTGGAATTCCAGCAGACCTCTCCCCCTTCCCATGGCTCTGCTGGGATTTGCTGCCCCTGAGCCCCTCACCACCATCAGTCCAACAAACCACACATAAACAATGTGAAACCACCTCCCAGAGGGTACCAAAGTCCATATTAATAACTAATAAATGATTAATGCACGTGTGCTAACAAACTGCTGCTGCTATTAATCGGTTATTAATTATTAATGCAGTGTTTATAAGGATGTGCCGAAAGTGGAGGGTGCAAAGGCAGCACCTCAAGTCCTGCTTGCAGGAAAATTGGGGTTTGGGGAGCTTAAAAGGAGTCACATCCACACGAGAGTGCACGGACGTGCACAGGCACACACACCCGGAGCCAAATCCTTGGATGGGGCTGGAAAATTAGGCACTGGGAGCCTGTGCCTGGGGAAACTGAGGCACGGGGGGGGTCGCTGCAGTGGGGCAGGAGCCAGTGAGGAGCGGGAGATGCTGAGTGTCCCCCCCAGTGCCGATCTCATCCCGCAGCCCCGGGGCACAGCCCGGCCCCCCCAAGGCCACCCCTGCCCTTGGCAGCGCTGTCCCCATCACGGGCTGATCCAGCCCAGCGTCCCCTTGTCCCCCCGTGTCCCCTCCCCAGTCCCGGCTCTCCCGCACGGGCTGGGCTGGCCCCGGCGCTGAGAGCGAAGCAATGCCTCCATCTGCTGGAGAAACGGGCCCTGGGCCGCTCCGGCCCGAAATTCCAGCCCCACACATTCCCTGGGGTCCGGGGACGCTCCCAGCTCCCACCCCACGAGGGAGGGTGGCCCTGGTTGCCAAATAACCGGGAGGCTGCAACCCCCACGGGCTGGGCGAGAGCTGCTGGGAGGAAAGAGGAAATCGGGGTTTCTTCATTTCCTGCTTCAAGATGCATTTCATGGCTCAGGGAGGTGAAGGGTCGAGGTTACAGCTCCTGCCTGTGCCCGGGGCTGTGGGGCACAGGAGCCAGGACTGAGCCCCCTGCTCCTTTTGGGGTGAGCTGCAGGATGGAGATGCTGAGGGAGCACCCAGGTGGGTTTGGTGCCCCCAGGATCTCCCCAGCCTGTCCTGAGCCGGGCATGGAGCATCCCCACAGCACCCACGGGCTGCTGAACAGTGTCATGGGGGAAAAAAAAAAAATCAGCAAAAAATAAAGACAATTAGAAAACTGCAGTTTTCCAGCAGCTGCATTTAGAGATCCTATCTCCCACTGGGAAGAGAAACCAATTTCCTTACAAACCAAAAAAGCTGGAGCTAAGAAAAGCTTCTTTGCATCAGCCCCCCAAATCCAGGGGGAAAAGGGCTCAGCAGCTCCTGGACCAGAGTCTGCAAATGCCATCAGTGCCACCAAGGCCATCAGGGCCATGTCCTGGAGCAGATTTATCCACCTGGAACAGGCAGCAGAGCCCACCAAAGGATTCAGGGATGCTCCATGGTTTGGAGAATTAAATCAGCATTTTGCACAGTCCTTCACAGGTTGGCAACAGGAAACGATTGTCCTTGTTAAGGGCTTGGGTGGCTTTTAAACTTGGCATTCTCCCTGGCTGTAATAAGACAACCGAGGAATCTCACAGCTAAAAGACAGCTCCTGGCTGCCCCTCTTTCCCTGGCCACTTCTCTCCAGCTTGGCAGAATCACAGCAATGGCAGGAATTCTGTAATTTTATTCCTAACATTTTCTGGTACTTCTTAAAGGTCATTTTGTTCGTTATGGAAAAAAAAAGTGATGCTCCTAACAAATTTCTTCCCTGTGAGGGTGGGCAGGGTGCCCAGAGCAGCTGTGGCTGCCCCTGGATCCCTGGCAGTGCCCAAGGCCAGGCTGGACGGGGCTTGGAGCAGCCTGGGATGGTGGAAGGTGTCCCTGCCATGGCAGGGGTGGCACTGGATGGGCTTTGAGGTCCCTTCCCACTCAAACCAGTTTGGGTTGCTGGTGCAGTGTGGGGTGGATGGTGCAGGTTGTGCCCTCCCAGAGCCCTGCACCTCCTCCCTGCGCTGGATCCAAGCATGACTCAGCCCCACACGGTTTTTTATCAGCTCTCACACACAGCCTCAGCACCCAGAAACGGCCCCAGCCACAGATCAACAGCCACAACCCTCGGCTGGCCTGGGAAATATGGAAATAAACACACTTTATGTTTTACATAACATAAACACAGGAAGGGAACTGTGGGCTCCTCACGGGGGAGGCTGCAGGGTCACAGCACCCACCGAGCCCATCCCAGCCCCCCAAAACCCTGCAGGGGTGCCTGGATCCAGGGTCCTGCTGTCCTGGTTGGCCTCAAGCAGTGACATTTTCCACTTTGCTCATGGAAACTCACATCTCCCAAAGCCTGCTCATCCCAACCTCGATGCTCCCAGGAGAAATTCCTGCAGCTGTCCTGCCGCTGCCTTCCCCCAGCACCCACAGTGGCACCACTGATGACTCAAGGAATGAATAGAAGGGAGGAAATATTGAAATATTTGGGGTTTAGAGTGTTTTAGAGTGTTTAGAGTGTTTAGAGTCACTTT